TGGGGATAACAAGACATCATGTTGTGAGGTGCTGAGCCACGAAGAGTTATTATGGGAGCTGCAGAAGTTGCTATAAATACCTGAGGAACGAGGGCATTCGGTGTTACACTAATAGAATACAAAGTCTGCAAAAGCCTTTGCATTTTAGAGATGAAGCTTTGAGATAACTACAGGAAGCTTAAAAAAATCCTCCCAGAGCTTTGTCCACGGGCACTGATGTTCCCCTGCAGAGAGGGGTGGTGGGAAGGCAGAGTTTATTCTTTACAGGGATGGGGATCTAAGAGCCTTCAAGCTGGTGACTGCTTGAACTTCACTTGCACAAGGAGAAGGTTGTAGTTTCAAAAGTGAGCAGCAGGGCTTTGGAGCTCACTTTCAAGTTCAAATTAGGGCAGATTTGGAGACCACAGACATTTTACCACTGTTGGGCTGGTCTCTTGGCTTTCTCATGAAGTCAGGTTATGTCAAGTCCCCTTCACATCACCCAAATAGTATAAAAAAGCTTTAGAAGAAATCCATCCCAGGCTTCCCACGGCAGTTCTAGCCCTTTCCTAAATAAAAAAGGTCCTTGATTCCTGCATAGCTGTGACCTCCTACTCCTTGGACTTGCAGAGGCTCTCCTGCCAGATCCAGCAGATGCAGACAAAAATGGGTGAATTCTAAGGAGAGGGGAGGAGAAAGACCTGCCCCAGCACAGGTGGGGTGCAGCAAGGCTTGTCTGGAATTACAAAGCTCCCTTTAGGTTACAGAGCCTGTTTCTGTGGGCAGCCACAGCTGGCAAGTCTGTGCAGCACAGCCCCGGGCCGAGGCAGCAGTAAGCAGGCTCAGACAGGGGCACAGCTCCACCTGCTTGTACCTCCACTCCCAAGGGTGGTCAGCAGCCTCTCCAGCTTGGACACCCCCAGTATTTCCCCCAAGGGGCTGCAGGAGGTTGGCTTTCCTGAGTAACCCTTGCCAGACCTTTGGAAGGAGCCCATGGATGCTTCTGCACTTACTGCAAGTGAAAAATTCTAGAGGAAACTCAAGACTCGTGCAGAGCTGAGGATCAGAGGGATTTGGAAAGGCTAATCCCCTTCCTCCTCCATGGCCATCACCCCTGTGCAGGTTAATTTAGCAAAAAGGCAGCAAAGGAGCTCCCCATTGAGGGTTTTTCCCATGCTGTGCTGGTGGCTGTGATGAGATGCAGAGAAGAAAGAACAGGGGAAAGATGTCCCCATCTCACCACTGTTACCATCATCCCTCCTGTTTATTTTATTGGCAGCAAAAGGGAGGTGCCTCAGGCAGAAAAATACCGTGAAAAGTATGTTGCTACCCCCGACCTTGTCAAACAATATTTGTTCCTGGTGAGATGTTTCATTTCTCCAATTCAGCTGTTTTCCCAACAAATGGATCCACACCTTTCACTGGCTGCTTCTGCAGGTTAAAAATTGACTGAACACACTGATTTCATGAGCCCTCTGGAGCTCCAGCAGCTCCATCAAAGCTGCAATCAAATGTATTTATTGAGCACTATATGTGAGAGAGATTAAGATGAGTTGTGAGTGTCTCCCTGTTAATTACAGGTCCTACCTGACCATCCTGCATGTGCCAGTCAGTGGGGAAGGAGAAATGAACTTACTCCTAGAGCAGCCATGGTTAAAATGTGCTGGACAAGGTCAATCTGAAGTGCTGCTCTGGCAGAGAGCTCCCATTCACATGGGAAATGTTCAGCAGAAGGGGATGAGAACTCAGATCAGTGAGTGCTGGAGCCACTGGAAAAATATGTGAAAGATTCCTGTTTAATTCCTCTGGGTTTAATTCTTATTAATTTGAATATATTACTACATAAAGGATAACTTAACTGTAATATTGTTCAATTAATCATGATAGAATAGGTTAGGCTAGAAAGGACCTTAGAGCCTATCTTATTCCAATCCCTCTGCCACCCTTTCTTGTAGACCAGGTTGCTCCAACATGGCCTTGAACACTTCCAGGGATGGGGCAGCCTCAGCTTCTCTGGGAAACTGAACATGGCCTTGAACACTTCCAGGGATGGGGCAGCTTCAGCTTCTCTGGGAAACCTCTTCAGCACCTTACCACCCTCACAGGGAAGAATTTCTTCCTAATATGTGATCTAGTAGTCAATTAATGTTCATTAAGGTGAAGAGGTGAACTCAAAACTGATAAAGTACACTGTTGGATGTGCTGGAAGAAATCCTGGATGCTCATAAATCAGCAACAACCAAGGAGAGCCCCACGTGCTGTGTGGGTAAATATTAATGTATATCCAGAGCCACAGCCTGGGAAAGGATCAATTTTTTTGCCAGTCTCTCTAAGTATTAGACTAACATATGTGAGGGAGAAAATACTCCAGGGGAACAGGCTTTTGTGCACACACCCACACCACATCTCCTGGATGCTCTCTGCAGCCCCAGACAGGGTGAGACTGAGCCAGCTGGACCCCAGCATGGTACAGTCTGAGACCTTTCACACTTGACAGAAGCTGATCTCAGTCACATGCCCATAGTTAGGGAAGAACCAGCTTTTACAGATTTTGACTGCAGAGCTCAGTTACAGCAGAAAAAACTGACCTCAGAAAGAGTCCCAGCCTCCCTCCTGCACTTGGGAAGAATTCAAGGCAGAGAGGATGCAAGGGGCAGCCTCACTTTCTGAGATGGAGCAAATGAAGAATTTGGATCTAAAAGCCTCCAGACTCTGGGGGAGTTCAGGTCCAAATCTGTGCTTTCCAACTTCACACTTCTCCCTTGTTGTGGTATCTCGTTTCACTTGGCTCTCTGGCTGTGTTTTTCAAGCAGCAGCCGTGGAAACCTATTGGTTTCAGTTCTGTCTAATATTCTGGGAAACGCTTCAGAAAGCTGGAATTTGACCAAGACTCATGTCTGAGCTCCACTGGACCCTTCAAGCACCACTGTTAGCACTCTAATAATAATAATATTTCATATGTCAGAGCCCTGGATCCAAATCTCACCCTTAAGGAGCTGCTTTATCACAATGAGGTACTGCACGCTGCAGCTCTCTTTGAGACACCCATCCTCTAAAGAGGATCCATTTCCACCCATTTACAGAAACTGCCAGGTTATTGTTACAAACCCAAAGCAGAATCAGTCACATCTGGTGGCTGCAGTTCCACTGTTCTGGAAACACTACTTGAAACCTGTGTGGGGCTCAGGGTGACTTTGAGGCCACCCCAGCTTCTCCTGGCCCCACCATGTCCAGCCCAGCCCTTCCTCATGTAGCCTAAGCAAATCCACCACCTCTATCCAAAATCCTAAAGCAGTTTTATTTAAATTTTTAGACTTCCAGCACATGCATGTTTCCTGTTATTTCATCAAAGACTTGGATTTCTTTTTGGTGACATAATTTGTCAACACATGCAGTTTGTAACAGAAAAAAGGTTGATCAAAGAATAGCAGGTAAGTCTTATTTACTGCCTGATAACGAGCTAAATTGCTGCTATAGCTTTGTATTAGCAAGCTCCACATTTAGGGCTTTTATCAGCATTTCAGCTGCAACACTTTTCAACTTTGGATAGACAATTTAATAATCAGAAAAGAGGTTTTTTTTCCCCCCTGACAGAGCTCAGTGCCAATGTTAGGATGCAGAAGACTGTAACTTACAGCCAGTGATTAATCCAGGCAAAATACTGGATGTGCACCAGGTGCAGAAAGATGGGAGCAGTGCTCAACTGACTAACCATGAGATAACAGTGCAGGTCTGCAGTGCTCTAAAAAGAGAAAGCCTCTGCTTGGGAGGGGAGCAAAGGCAGCAGAAATGGTTCAAAGTGAAAAGCAAGCTGTGGGCAGCAGTAAGTGTCAGAATTTAGATTTAGCCTCAGTTTGGGATAAAGCCTCAGTTATTTGGATTGATCAGTCCCATTATCCAGCAGAATAAAATGCATTGTTTTCATATCAGGTAGCCTTCTTTAGGAAAATGTCAGACATTTGAAGACTGCTTCACAGATGTCACTGATGCCTCCCTTCCTGGTAACAGCAACATCCCTGGGTTTCAGTCTTGGGTGGGCTGCCAGGGGGTCAGGCAACATCTTCCAGACTGACAACCTAGACACACAGTATGAATTTTAACCATTCATATCACCTATAAATAAATTTTTTATCTTTTTTAAAAATTCATAATACTTCAGGAGTACATGGCTCTGGGAACGTGTGGTGGTCCTGTGTCAGCTGGAGTCTGTGGGTGCATCTGAACACTCCACATCCCTTTGAACTTCCCATTGCCCTCCTGCACCCAAAAAAGGGCATGTCATACCCCACACTGCAGTAGTAAGCCCAATCCACCTGTATCCAAAAATAACTTTCATTCACCAGCTAGAAGGTGGCCCTGGACAACATCATCTCCCCAGCACAAGCCCTGCAGTCCTGGGGAAGGGTCATATTTCACTGAGTTCTTCAACCTCTGCCACAAGTCATTTTACTAAACTTCAAACAAAGAGATTTAAGGTTTTAAAAACGCTTCTAGGGATGGAAGGCAGGAGCCCAGCCTGTAACACATCCAGCAAAGCCCTCAGCACCTGAGCCAGGGGAGCAGAGCAGCCCCACAGGTCACAGCAGGCTCAGAAAGAGCCCACACCATCAGGCAGGTTCGTGCAGATGGGGCAGCTCAGGGGACACACCACGGGTCAAGGTGGGATCCAGTGAAGGTGATCCAGGTCAGACACCATCCAGCAGCCCCCAAACAGGTCCAGCATGGCAGAAGGTCCACAGAGATGAGCCTGAGGGAGGGGATGGACAGCCTGTGGCTGAGCTGGAGCCCAGCACCTCCCTGGCACAGCTCAGGCAGAGGTGGAGGGTTCTGGGCTGAGCTTGAATGGGCTCCTGGGTGAGGGGTGTCCCCAGCTGAGAGGGACCAGCTGCTCTGGATCTTTAATGTCTGTAGTGCCCACGCCTGACCCTGGAGCTGTGAGAACATTCACTTCCCTTAGAAGTGAAGAATATGTGACAATATCTATGCTTTGCATGTGACAATACCCAAACCTGCATCTGTACCATGCTTCAGCTGTTCCAAAATCCAGCCTGGACAGGTTAGCAGTGTGCTGTAAGACTGCTCCTGGTTTTCTGTATGAGCTGTAAATAATGCCCAGCAGTCAAGGTATCTGTGAAAGAAACACACGGTGAGACAGGACCAGCTCCTCGCTTATGGCTACATCAAAGGCAAAGCTGCTCTCTTTAAAGGCAGACAGGAGACCTTTTTTTTTCTGGAGAAATCCACACCCTGACTCCCAGGCATATGCACGAGGCAAGGTTTTCAACTTGTGACTTAAGTGGCTTGAAACAAATCAGATGTGGAACCATATGGGCTCGGGGCTTTTTGAGACTGTAAACTTTTTCCATTTCAGATAGAGGTACTGATGGGGCAGCTGTGAGCTCCAGAGCTGCAGGCCAGGGGGGATGAGCACACACAGGTGGAGTGGGATGGAGGTGATGCCATAAAGATATACAGGGAGATAAAATTGCAAAGGTGATTGCGTGCTGCTGGGTCTGGCATGACAGCAGGACATCACATTAAGGCTGAAGGGCAAAGTCTGCTCCGTTGGGAGGCACAGTGCTGGCTGAACAGCAGTCTGAGAGCAGTACCTGAGCTCTGCAAGGGACAACAAACCACTTCTGCTCTTGGCTTCAGCTCAGCTGAGCAGTCAGAGAGGTTAGAGGGCTCAGACCACACATTATGCCTGGAGCAAGTGCCCATTACTCACTCTGTACAGCTCCAGAGGGCCATATTTTGGCTTGTAAGCTCTGCACTTGTCATTTTTCTTACTGCTGACTCTTTCTACTGTGCTCATCTTTGCTTCCCCTACACCATTGCATTGTGCTTGTTTCAAAAACAAGACCATTGTTCATTCTCTACAGTCTCACCCTTTTCCATTCCCTGTTTCCAGTGGACTCCATTAGGTAAGTGTGTAACAGAGCAGCTGAGAACAGCAGACTTACAGGAAAAAAAAGAGGAGAAAAAAAATTCCCAAAAACAAGTAAGCAAGCAAACAAACAAAAAAACAAACAAACAAAACCCCCAACCCCCCCAAACAACAACAAAAGCCAACAACCAAACACCCACACCAGAAAAAAAGAGAAAATAAGTGTCTGTGCCCCCTTGTCTAAGGTGAGCCTGCAGTGGGAAGATATCTCATTTCTCACATCTTTCCTTGTGTTCATGGACTGCACAGACACAAACAACTTGTCACCTAAGAGGGCTGTGAGCCCCCCTAAGAGCTCTTGAGAGGTGGGGGGAAGTCTGTCCTGGCATCCTTCAGAAATTGTAATCTTCATCCTCTGTTTATGCATTATATTGAATTGTTAAATTTAAAGGGGTCTTTTAAATTTGTTAGATTTTCATTTTCCTCTAGATTATTTTTTAAAGAAATTATATAAGAAAGAGAAATTCTGCACAGGACAAAAAGCAAAACACTATCAGTGTGTCAAAAGTCATACTGAAGTTAATATTTGATATTTCCTCTTTTTCTTCTATCCCCATGGCCTTTTCCTCTTTAAAATTAAATTAGAGCACTGTGACATGACTTGTGCTTGGCAAATCTGTATTGGATGTTGCTCATCTTCTTATTTTCCAGGTATGTGTCTATTTGCTCCAGCATTTTTCTGGATTTTGAGAGTAAGTTGGCTGTTGTACAATTCTCCTGTTTTTTCTCTTACCTTTCTCACCTTTTAAGACAGGCAATGAGTCAGTCTTCTGGTATCACCCCAGCCCACCCAGGAATTCAGAGATACCATTAATAGTTCTGAGATTACAGTTTTTCAAGGACTGCAGGATTAAGTCAGCCCCAGCCAATTTCAAAATCTCTAATTTATATAAGTATTCTTTAACCTGATTTTACCCTAATCTGTGCTGAATTTTCTTTTCCTTAGCATTAATTTAGTAAACTCTTATTCACTATTTACTTTCTACTGAACATTGTGAGATAGACATTAATTAATAGAATCATAGCAGCATAGAATCACAAAATGGGTTGGAATGGACCTTAAGGATCATTAAGTCCAAACCCCTCAGGAGGACAAACCTTTCTTTTGCTTTTCTTCACATTTTTAATGGGCTTAAGGACTATTTCTTGTTGACCCTGATGTCTCTTGATGGCTGCATTTGGTTTTCTACCTTTTCCATTTGAATTTTCCCTTAGGTATTTGAGCTAATCTTTTATGATAATTTTCAGTAATCTTAAAATTGTAGTTCTTTCTTCTGCTGTTGATAAAGAATTTATGATTTAGTAAATAAATTGCCTTTCTTGTGCTCTCTCTAGGGTAGTAGTTTTTTGCCTTTTCTCTCCAATGGACATCTATCCATTCTCTGCTTTTGCTGAATAGAAGGTGGGTTTTTTTGCTGAATATATTTTGAATATAAGGTTTTTGCATGGGTTTTTTTTTGATTGTAGTTGGCTGGTTGGGGTTTATTTAGTGTGTGTTTTGTTTTGTGTGTGTTTTGTTTTCAGCTTTTTTTTACAGCAAGCAGCTCATGAAGGTGTCCATGGGAGCCAGAACTGCCTTGGCAGTATCTCCCAAAGAGCTGAGGGTTTGTGGCCGTGCTGGGGGGCTCGTGGAGCTGCAGAGGAGGCACAAGTGGCCTCACAGAACTCTGCACTGCTCTGCACCTGGGCTGCTGGAAGAGCCCGTGCTACCAGATAAGGGTTTTCAGACTGTGCTATCTGCCTAACCAGTAAGACTTGTACAAAGTGCTCATGTTGCCAGAAGTCAGTCTGAATTTGCAGTTCCCTGGCTATTCATCATTTTTTCCAAGGGTCATGAAGAAGATATCATGGAGCTGGCAGTGCTGAGCCTAGGATGCATCAGGGAGTTCCCCATACCAGGAACTCAGCTATAAGTCTGCTTTACACATCTGGAGCAATGGAAATGGCCTTAATTGAGGTTATAAACTAGCTCATGATGACATTTCCTGCCAGTTCTGTGTGTCATAGAGGATATGCATGCACTGAAAAGCCTTAAATCATTTCTGAGCTGGAACAGAAAATCAATCTATTTAAATATGTTGTTAAGAGTAAAAGGTTCATTGAAAACTGCCTTGTCCTTTCAGGAGTAGAGACTCAATGGTGTGTACAGAAATATCCTTCACAAAGTTTCATCCCATGCATTTTGTTTGAGATGCTTCTGGGGCAAGTTGAGAGTGGCCAGTTCCCCTCACTGCATCATTTTCTAGACTTATATCAGCAGCAGGTTTCAGTCAGGCTGAAGATCAAAGGCTTTGATCTCCAGTCATCTCAGCATAACTAAAAGGAAGCCACATCTGGAGAATTTATCTAATTCTGCAAGCTATAAATACGTATGGTTTTGGTACTATGCAGTTAATCAAAAGGCTGAAAGAGAATACATGTGCCAACCTGCAAAGGTTGGATTGTGCTGTAGGAACTGATGAAATACCTTCTGATGCCTATTTCTGTGTCTAAGTAAACCACTCAGTGGTTTAGCATTTTGTTCTGGTGAACTCAGTGCCGAGGACACAAGCTTTCCTGAGTCCTTAAGAATTAAGTCACTTATTCCTAAGCAAATATAAGTTTACTACAGGGGAATAGCCCAGAGACTTTCCTTGCAAGATTTTGAATCAACCCACTCTGAAGACAGGGGCCTCAGGATAAAACTTGGATCTAGGTCTGAGTCCTGAATTTTTCATTCTCAAAATCTGGATAAGCTTAAAGTGCCTGGATTGCATCTCTGATTTTTCCCATTTGCTCAAAATCAGCCCTAAACAGCACCAAGTTTAATTTAATCAGGCAGCACTTAAAATCTGTAATCAGGCTCCAGTGGTGACTCCCTGCTTCAGCCTCTGAAACACAACTGATTTGTGCCCAGAAGCACCGAGACAATCGGAACTCCTGATTAGCTGAACCCTCCACTTGTGGGATTATTTTTAAGCTTAGGTACTTTTGCTGCAGGTTTTTCAAGAGTGTGTAGCTGCTTTATTTGAAGGCTACAGCTAAATGCTTGTGGCAGATCTACAGATATTGGAGTGGCTGAAGGTCGTGCTCACAGGTCAGTGGGCAAGGTCTGTGCTGGGAAATTGCGGGATTTGCAGACACAGCACCTGATTGGGAATGTACCCCACAATTTCTGAAGACAAAATGGAAGAATGAGTAATGAGCACCCCAAAAAATACTTCCAAACAAACAAGCATCGTGCCCTACACCCACCTGTGCTGCTGCTGGTTTTCCTTGCAGGGAATTGCTAAGGAATCTCCACATGTCTTTGAGCTGCCAGACCCGAGACCCAACTGCAAAAAATGCCAAAACTCAGAGAAAGAATTTTCTTTGTAGTCATCATTGTTTCTCTCCTTTAAAACCCCATTTTCCACAAGTAGGGAGAAAAGATCTGTAATGAAAGGCAAATATTGAGGAGCAGCCCAGGACAGCTCCCAGTTTCCCAGCAACACAGACACTCTGATCATGACTATTATGATTTCACCTTTTAAAGAATCTCCTGTCTGTGGCTAATTTTACATAATGGTCTTTATTAATATTAATTATGTCTCAAACTCATGTGTGATGTAGCTAAGACATACAGTTTTGAGGCAAACCCAGCTACATGACTGTGAAAGGCATGAGGACTGTGGTGGAGTCAGAACTCCCCTCTCCTGACGCCCTCATCTTTGGGACCAAACCCAGCCCTGCCTCCTCCCCAGCTGCAGGGATGGCTGCTCATGGTTTCCCAAGGAATGATTTTGCACTCATAGCATCCTTCACCTGGCACAACAACCTTCCAAATCTGAGCAGTGCCTCCCAATCAGAAGAGATGGAATAAATAGTATTGTGCTGTAAATACAGCATGAAAAGTCATGTTTGGGAGACAGTCTCACCGTACTTTTAAGCTTCTCCACGTTTTAAAGAACAATTTCAGAGCAGGACTGATTCATTTACAAAGGAAACCACTTCTCCTTCTCTCTTCAGGCACTTGAGAGAGGCTTGTTTCACTGTTCTTTTTCCTGCCAAATACTTGCTACAGTGAAATACCCAGAACCACACTTACTCATCAGAGGACCATTCTCTTGGGAAAATATTTCCTTACTTTGCCATATTTAAAGCAGGATACTCAGAGATCTCTAATTGGAATTCTGTTGACTAAGTATTTTTCTTGACCATTCACACCCATCACTGGGTAATGGAAATTTGATTACTGATGGTTTGCACCAGAAGAAAATAAATTTAATTCTTTCAACTGATACATGTACATGGAGTCTGTCCATACCACTTTTTTCATTATCTGGCATAGAGTAATTAATTATTATTAAACCTTGTGTGCTGAGTTTGGGCAACTACTTTCAGCAGAAGAGAATTCTGGATGGTGAAAGGGCCATTTAAAACCTGGTCTCCAGGGTTTATTTTACCAGATTTTTGCATGCTTGACTGACCAAGTTTGCAGTGTGAAACCCAGGGGCAACACAGAAACTTCGGCTTTGCACTGGTTTTGAAAAAAAGAAAATAAATCTTAATACTCTAAAATTTATCCCCAGGGTTGAAAGAAGAGAGTACTTTAATTGTAATGGGTGTTCAATAATTAGTAAAGTGAACCACTGGAGAATCATTCCAGCAGTAGCAGTTAAATATTCTCTACAGGGGAAAGTGAACATGATGAAAAGGCTGTAACTATAGACGTACCTCCCTAAATGCACTTCCTTTGCAGGACAGAGTCACTCGACTGAAGACAAAAACAAAGCCACAAGGCAAGCAAAAATAAAGAAATCTGATCCTCTTTGTGGATGTGTTGGTGAACAGGGTCACACAACCTGCTGTTCTCCAGCCTAGGTGTGTAAATCCCCTCTGCAAACCCTGGAGGGTGAAGGAGAACCATCCTTTTAGTGAACATAACCTGCAAGGCAGTTTTATGGGTATCTCTGTAGTGGTGTCTCGTGGAGGCCAGAGCTCTGAGGCTGTGGGCAGCCCTGGCTCCTGGGGGAGTGGGGAGCTCAGTGTCCCAGCCCTGCATCCCAGGATGATCTCTCACCCAGGGTGCCTGCACTGACTTTTACAATGTTAATTAGTTGGGAATTGCTGAAGGAGGCCTCTGCTCTTGGAATGTTCTGACTTCACATGGTCACTTCTCATAAAGGGTGAAGTCTTTCTTCCTACTTATCATAAAGTGTGAAGTGTGAAGTGTCTGTCCCTGTGCCTATTGCCAGCAAAGCCTGACCAGTGTGAAACACCAGCCAAAGGGGTTTGGGTAGAATTTAGAAGCTCTGAGCTGGGGTCAGTGTTTATTTGTGTGTGGTCATCCATAGTGGTTCACTCCTCAAGCAGCTCTACTGACCATGAGTGCCAAGACATTGCTCCCAGCAGGCAAAAAATCCTTGTAGTGGTGAAACTCTAAATGGCTATTTTATTTGGTATTGGAAGACCATTTTTCCTTTTATGCACCTTAGCACCCTTGAAACCCCTGTGATCAATACTGGGGGGCTTCAACCAACACAAACCCAGGAGCTGCTGTCAGTGTGTCTGTGCTGTCAGTGTGTCTGTGCTGTCAGTGTGTCTGTAGTGTCAGTGTGTCTCTGCTGTCAGTGTGTCTGTGCTGTCAGTGTGTCTCTGCAGACAGTTTCCATGCATAGGCATTACTGCTCAGGAATGAGACTCCACATTCCAGCTGCTATAAGGCTGCTGGATACTCAAAACCACCCTCACTTAAGCTCTGAGTCAAGGGTACTTCAGTTTCTAGTTTAACCCTTGAGGAATAAAGCCCGAGCCAGCGCTGTGCACAGGGCTCTCAGAGGAAGGCAGGCAGGCTCACGAGGCATTTACTCACTCACAGGCTGAGTGTGCACACAGATTTAAGTGGCATATTAAACGTCTCCAGGCGATTCTGAGCCCTTCAGAACCCACATCATCACTTGGTATCTGCTTTAATTTTGTCATTTGCCTCCTGGCCTCTGTGGGCATGGGCTGCTTCATGATTCCTGCCCTCCATGTGTTTGTAACCACTCCTCCCATCACCAGATACGTCCCCTCTTCACAACCCTTAAGTACACATCTGCCTTTACTCCTTTCTGCTGGGGCCTTTCCACTGCTGTCAGTTGCTCGCAGAGCTCAGATTTCCTCTGCCTTTCACCCAGGTCAGCATCCTCACCTCCCTCCAGCAGATCATTGCAGTAAGTGACACTGGGCTGTTCCTCTCAAAACTCTTTAAGCTCAGACCTGAAGCAGACAACATAAATTTTGAAACAAAGCTCCGAGTCTTTATACAGTGAGGCATTAAATAATACAGCAGCCTCATGAATTCAGGCAGAATTCATAACTTTGATACAGCTGAAATGTCCTAAGCCTTCACTTCACATTTCCATGCCTTGATGCTACAGGAAGCTGATGACTCTCTGAGGGCTTTGCTACAGAAGAAAGTTGTATTGCTGCAGAACTTAATGTGAATCCATAAACTGATGCAGTTCGACTGGAGCGAGGACTGCTCTGCCACTGATTTCCATATAAAGTGGCTTATTATAGGTTAGTCAAATGTGGTCCCAACCAAAGCAGGAAAAATTGATATTAACTTGTATTGATTGAAAGGCAGAGATTAGGTGTAGCAGGTGGCTTTGTCCTGTGGATGATCTCTGAGCTGTGGGGCTGAGGACAGCTCTGTGAGGTGCCAGCTCTGTCCCCAGGGGGATTCTCTGCCATCCCTGCAGTGCCTTGTCCTGTGCTCCAAGCATTGGTCCTTTCCCTGGTACATGTTTAGTTGGTGTGGAGGTGCTCATGCTGTGCCCCAGCATCTGCCTTTACAGAACTGCAGTGGTTTTGCCTTCACACTACACACCTTGATGGGAAAAAAGATTGCACAGAACAGTGTTCAGCTGTTAGGTGGAGGGAGCAGATAAGAAGCTACTCTTTCTCTAATTTTAGTGGTTCATTAATTGATATCTATCAGCTTCAGATCCTTCAGATTCATCAAGACATGTAATTTTAAAAGCTCTAGGCACCATATAAAGCTGTAGGTCTGTACTGTTAGACAATCACACACGACACCAATGACTTTGCTTCAGTAAAAAACTCTGAGCTGCAATTTTTCTTTCTAACTTTTGCTACAGAAACAACACCTTGGATCTAGGTAGTAGCTAACACAAAGAACAGTGGGTGAGGAGATCCTGTTTTGGATGTGTTTCCCTGGTTATTTTAGGGACTTGTTGAGTAACAGTGTGAGGAGAGCCCACTCCATTCCCTGCGTGTGCCTGGAGTCTGCGCTGTGATTAGTGGTACTTCACAGCCCGTCTGTGAAGCATTCTGCAAAGTTTTCAGACTGAATAAGTCACAATATTACACACATTTCCATAATTATGCGTGTGTATGCTGATGCATTTTTATTAATTGAGTAGCCAGCTGGGAAATTCCAGTCCTAGTAATAAGTCCTAATATGTACAGACCATGTATTAGCTAGGAATGACTTAAAATAGATCTCAGGGATGTGCTGTCACCTGGTGTTAACACCTGCAGAAACGACATTTGTACAAAGCAGAGGAATTGGTCAAGGCAAGACACGAGGAAGCCCTTTGCCCCAGGACCAGAGTGGGAACAAATGGAAATAATTATTCTGGAGAGTGAGTAACTGAAATTCCTGTTACAAGGACTGTTTTAGCCATAAGCTAGTGAAAAGATGAAAAACTGCCATCAGAATGAAAAGTGCTAGAAGCAGCAAAAAACACATGCAACAGCAAGGTTAGCAATTGGGTAGGAAAAAGGAGAAAAAAACTCTGCAGAATCTTCGCTCTCAGCAAAAATTGAAGGCAAAACCCAACAGATTCTGTTTAAAGAAATCGTTTACAGCGATTTTCTTTACTCCCAAGTTAAAGTGTGCATGTTCTCATTCCAGCTGAATAAGGGAGCCTTTTTGCTGATGCAGAACACATCTCACTAGTTCATTTTCAGTACAATGCACAGAGAATTAAGTGCACAATTCCTGGTAACAAGAATGGAGATTGCACACGTCTCCTTCCTTCCTGCACATCACAGAATAAATAACTGGGAGTGTAGGGCAGAGAATGCCAGACACATCACTCTGGCTTTGGTTATCAGGACTTGAAGGGCTACAGCTAAAATCTACCCTAAAACAGAGGAAATATTTCTCTGTATAGCAATTCTTCCTATCTACCATTTACAAGAGCAATGACCAGTCTTAATATGCAGCAGCTGAATACAAATCAGGCTGAGAGCTCTGCGCTGTGCAAAACCATCAGAAATAAATGCCTGAATTTTACTTTCTCAGGAAATCATGTCAACATCAGCACAGCCAGGTCTTCCTTGCAGTATAATCTCAATCAGGGCACAATTCAGCTCTGATGGGCTTTTGTAAATATGGGACTGACCTTTCTGAGCATGTGACTGGGCTTCAGTGGCTTCAATACCCCTGATCCGCCGAGGTGATGAGCTCCTCGTTGAGCTCATCGGGTTTAACAGTGTGCAGGCTCTGAGCTCAGCCCTAAGCACTTGGTTCAGCATCTGTGAAACAGGCATGACATTGATCCTGGGCTTGCATGGGTCTGGGCCAGGGCAGAGGCTGAGCTACATTCAGGCATGCAGGGGTGGGGTGGGGAAAGTGTTTTTTTCTTGCAGCAGAAAGGCAGAAAACATCTTATTAGAGCAGCTCCAAG